AACAAAAGGTGCAAGTGTATTGTATACCATAAATGATGTTAATTGTAATTTAATTTAATTTTAATTTTGATTATTTGAATTAATTTTATATATTTGAATAATATTTAAAACTTCATTAATGTAACTTCAAATATAATTAATGTCATATAATTAGTAATGTGATGTAATTCTATGTATTAGTATAATTATGGACTATATTATCTGATATGAATAAATGTATTTGAATTTTGAATTTGAATTATAATATATATTATGTACATTAACATGACGCCCTTTTCCTATCAGTACAGGCAAAACCACTTTCCACTTGCTACTATCCCGATGCAGCCTCATCAACACGCATCAATGCTTTCATACGTTATTGTGGATTAAGATACTCTTGACCTGATCTTTCTTTAGGATATCCTTAATTTGGAGTTGGTAAGTTCACTTTGGTCGGTCCTTACTCCGGCATGGCTGCTTCGGAAAGTAACTGTGTCGTATAGCCAGGAGAGAACAGACAACCGAATGTCACCATTGTGGGTGCTGCGAAGACACGGCACATCACACGCGGTGAGGTTTAGTCGTAGTCTGTAGGAGTCCGACATAATCTCTCTGTCGCCCCCGCGGCAGAGAGATATCCATGAGGATTTCCGCACGTAAAATAAAATTGTCGGTCCTTACTAGCATGCCTAAACCAGTTACATCAATGTTCTTTGATTAATCTTTCCTACGAGCGAACCACCTAAGCAACCCTTTCTATTTTTGTCACTACATCTTACTCCATGCCGAAACACTCTCTTGTCAGTGTTATGTTTATCTATTTATCTCTATAAGGTGAATGTAATTACTAGGGAGAAAACACACTTTTTTTCTTTATATATCATGTAATTGTAATGGTTTGTTTTAGATTACAATTATGTGTCATTATTCACTAAGTTGCGAAACAATCTCAAAATGTGCATTTAAAAAGGTAGAGAGAGGTTTGCAAATCAGCGCTGGCCGACTTTTGGCACTGACTGAATGCAAAGACTGTCCTCGACGTACAAATATTTTTTTATATATTTTGAATAATATTTGTTTTTTCTCTATTGTGTATTTAACGTGTGTGGAAATAAATGGTTTACAATTCTGTAAAGTTTACGTACTATATTATTGGATGAGTGAGACGATGTGTTAACAATGTAACCGTCAACTTCCGTAAAATATTTTAACTACAAAACTTGAATTTAAACAAAATAGTACATAACATGCAATATAAAAGGAAAACAGAGGATCCAGGTCGAGAATTTCTTTATAAAATCTGTCGTGTCAAGTTGAACAAGTGACATGATCAGTTAAACAAAAGAACACGAACTCACTGTCTGTCAGCCATTCACAGCAGGTCCGCGGCGGCGTCAATAAAAAAAGATCGCATCACATAGGTATTTGTAAAAGTGTGAAAAAAATGTTTTCTTTTAGTCTTTGCTATAGTTGGGTTCTTTATTTAAAAATATTTCGCTCAGATCACCTTTTCCACTACAGAAATGGAATATTATATTATATAATAAATGCGCTGTTCATCGAATAATACCGTATTGTATTGAAATCTAAAAAAAAAGGTGATAGAAATAAACTACAACAATAAAAATTACACAATTATTTTTATTTTATTTATACAAAAACGCCTTGTCAAAATACTTTATACAACGTTATACATTGTAATGGATACAAATAAATACGATGCGTGCAATGATAAATATAAGGTGTTCCTATTTGTACATCATAATTTACGTATGTTTTGACAACGAGAAAATATTAACACGTACATTGTGATTCACTACTAATCGGCTATATGATAACGGCTATTTTTCAGTGATTACATTGTAACTAGAACTGATAATATACTGATAATTATCTTTTTTTGGTTTTTGATATTTTTTTGTTTATTAGTTTTATGGTAGTCATAATAATCAAAACCAAATTATACTAATAAGTAAAAGACGACACAGTAATTGTTATTCAAGCTTTTCTACTCACAAGAGGTTATCACAAACTATCACCCACGTGAATGTATAACATTTTCCTTAGAGATATGAGATTATTTTTGCTTCACAAAGATCAAAGATAGTGATTATCTAGATGTATGATTACTTCATCTTTTTAAAAAGCCAACGAGGTAAACAAACATAATAATAATAATAGGCATAACATTAATAATATGAGGAATAAAAATAAACTGAATGTTCTTGGCAGTCATCTTCACAAAGTCACAAATTTTGCGTCTGAATAACACAGTCATAATAAAGTAAACACAATGTTAATATTCAAAATGCTAATTATTATAAAACGTGAACGTTTTTTCGTAGTGACAAAATTAGACTTTCTTTATTATTATTTTGTTAAAAAAAAAGCATTTATAGGTCACCCTTTTTTAATCTCGCAGTATCAAATTAATAATACTAATATTTGTTATAATTATTAATACAAAGATCGAACACTCAGAAAAAATTCCTTCGATCCGGTTGGATTCGAACCGACGTCTTCTTGCATACCATGCCAGACGCTATACCAACTAAGCCACGGAACGAACCAACGGACCTCACGAATTTTTCTATGTGCTTGCGTCGTGTCTTGTTTGGTATAGCGTCTGGCACGGTATGCAAGAAGACGTCGGTTCGAATCCGACCGGATCGAAGGAATTTTTTCTGAGTGTTTTTTCTGAGTGTTCGATGTTTGTATTAATAATTATAACAAACTAGTGGAGTAATTTCACAAAAAATAAAAATTTTATTAATACTAATTTTCTTCGAAAGGCAAATCTTTGTGAATCAAAAATCCTTCGCACATTCGCCAACAGTCACCTTTCCGTGTCAAATTCATATGAAGCCCCGTTAACGTAAGCAAATCGTGAGTCTTCATTTAAGAGTTTATATAATCATTTTCCAAAGACTCAAAGTGATCAAAAGACACGACCAATTACGTCGGATTATTGTACTCCCTAACGACTGCTTTTATAGAAATGAACATCTTATAAACCTTTTTGATAGTATTTAATGCTATGTAACAAGGATTGTACTAATTTGGGTATTGATAATAATTTTGATCGCATCTTGAATACCTAGGACAGTTGTATAGAAGTATATGTCTACCTGTAGTGTATTCACTAAGCAGACGTAATACATTGCCTCACGCTCACAAAATGGTTTATTTATTTATTTTATTTATTTATGTCTTCAATACATGGTGTAATGGTATATAATAGCCACAGAACAGTAAATACAGTGGAAGTGCTTAGAGATGTTGGTGGTGTATCATACCATCGTAAGTCTCATTTAATTTAATTTAAATAGTGAAGAGAGGAGAAGGAGGCCTTTGCCTAGCAGTGGGACAGTATAGGCTTTTAAAGATGAAATATTTTTTTTATATTTTTAAGTATTGCCAATAGACGGCATTTTTACTGCCTCTGTGGCTGAAAGGTTACCATACTAGACTGCCACGCAGAGGTCCCGGGTTCGATTTTCGGGACGAGAGAAATATTTGTATGGCTTAAATTTATTTCTCTCGTGACTTTGGGTGTAATTTGTGGTTGTCTATGTGTGTGTCCATGACACCCGCGATACGAAAAAAATTGGTACGGTGGCAGTACTTCCCTGGATGAAGACGCATTTAGCTCTCTTAGTACTAGATAATCCATAAATCCATCCAGTAGGATCAATGTTATAATCTTAATGAACTCAAACGTCTTGGAGATAAATTCCACTTGATGTGTACATAATCGATCACGCATCTTTTGGGAGTTGTCAAAATGGCCGCTTAAGAACAATCGTCACTCAGTAATTAAACTACGGCTTAAGATCGTTACTAATCTTAATGAATCAGGCAGAATCTTGGCCACTATAGATGGTATCACCCAAGATATCTACGGTTATAGTCTCAATAGACTATACAAGAGACCACGCGATACATCTCGAGATCTGAGGGTGATATCTCAAGCAATAAGTACTTAGATACCGAATTTAGGAGCTGTTTGTTAAATTGAATCCTTGTAACTAATCAAAATTAAATTCAGTACACAATATTTAGAAAATAAATAGCGAAAGTTGTAGTTTGCACTTGTCTGTTAAATTATATAGTTTCAATTCTATGTGAGCTGTAATTTCAATGCAATAGGGTTGAAAGTTGCTTTTTTAAGAATGTGCAATGTTTTCTATATATTTAGAAAAACCATGACTGTTGTCATAACACGAAATTTTAAAAGCTATTGAAATCCTTATACTAAAAGTTATATTCTTATCTACACATCTACCATATTGTTTGAATGAATGTCACACAATGAAATGCCTTACTGACCAGTCACGAGACTCACAATTTATCTATTTAAAACCGTGAGGTCTCGGTTTACTATTGCTTGGCATTAGGCTCCCCCTTTTTACTCCTAATGGTAATCTTCCTTTTTACAACATTCTTAATTCAGTCTAGAATTGAGTTAAATTTATTCCATAATACTTAGTAGTACATGATTGTATTAACGAGGCTGTTGGATGAATTAACGTTACGGTTACCAGTGCCTTCACAAATCGATATTGCCAATACCCAAATGCATTAAATGAGATTATCATTATGAACGTCCTGAAAGCTCAATTCTCTTTTGAACACATAAAATGTAGAACGATAATTAAATGATGGATTTTCTTACATATCTACCTACCTAACAATAATTAGTAAATTTACAACATTCATCTTATTACTGTGATTACAATACAAATAGTTAAACTTGAGATTCTGGAATGTTTTTTTTCCATAATTTATATCCCTGTCTTTATTAGCATTAATACGGATAGAGGGGAAAAACTTTTGTGTCGTTGATAGAGGTCTCAAATTTATCTATTTGGTATAAACTACTTATTCACACTTTGCGTTAAAATTTAAGTGCTCCGATCAATCTGTTACTATGATTTTTATAAATACTTTATACTATTTTTCATATTTGAAACATCGATTAAGCAGTCACATTTATGAAATCAGTGCTACAATATAAAGGTAATGATAAAAATATTTTTCAAAGCAAACTAATCGTCTACTTAGTTTATTTACCTGAACAGTTTAAAAAAACTCGACTTTTAAATTCATAAAATTACAAATCATATTATTGAAATTAATTCTGAAAACGAGTTTAAGAGACATAAATATAAAACAATTAATATAATATTTGATGTAGCTCCTCAAAAAAAGTTCAATTTTGTATCTGAAAAATTCAGTGTTTACTTTCAAGTGTCATAAGTCAGCACTTCACTTATTAATGACTAGACTCACACAATTAGCTTACAATACCTAAATAAAGAATAAGACTAAGCACACACCCCATGAAACTAAATTACTCGAATAGTGCAGCTGATGGGAAATACTCATCGTATCACGAAACCTGAAGGTTTTCATTTCGTTCTGTATTGGAACAACTGGATCTATAACATGTGGAGGCATTTCTGTGGTTTTTTCAGCTTCTTTCGGGCATGGAAGTGCTTCAGGTTTTATCTTCAGTACGTTTCTTTTTATTTCTTTTTTAGATGAACTTATTTCATTACTTCCATGTTCTTTTAAGTCTTCAAGGTTTTCTGTTCCATTTTTTTTATCATCTGAAGTCTCAATTGATAGTCCTGGATGTAAAATTTCTTGGTTGTAGTCCAGTTTGGTATCGACAGGCTCAATCTTATTGTAAGCCGAACTAACGATCGGAGGATCAAGTTTGCAAGTAACTAGTTCCAGAGAATCCTTAGTGTTCTGACTTTTTGTGTCATTTCGAAGAGCGTGCATCCATTTGAGACGGCAGTCGCATAAAAAGTTGTTTTCTGTAAAATAAAAAATAATGAATGATGAGACTTCTGGTAAACGATTTAAAAAATACTAATTAATAACTTTGTAAATTTTTTTACTTGTGCAAGAGTCAGCGTATATTAAGAACTATTAACTCGCATAATGTAACAACTTCAAAGGGTTACGATATTAGGGCTAAACATATTAAAACATCATATTTAATGTGACTGGGTTACAGCGTTATGCACTCGTATTTCCCCTCTCGACATCTAAGAATACCCATAGGCGCCATAAAAGAGCAAACTTTCTAAGTGTGTTAAAGTTTTAACAACGTCTGTTACCACTCATTCCATATTCAACGTAAATTATATTTTAAGTTTATCAACTCGACACGTGGAAGTATTAAATATTCATTATTACCTTCGAGAAGCAAATTGCTGTTCTGCGGTTTCAAGTTGTCCAATATAGGCTTGATATTGTCGTAAGTTAATGCATGTAGTTCGTTAGAACGCAAATCCAGTGAGCTCAATCCCCTCACACCCTCAAACAACCCCTTCGGGAGCGAAGCCAATTTATTATCATCTAGGGACAACTTTCGTAGTTGAGACAAGCCATCGAAGGCACGTTCAGAAATATGCTTGAGGTCATTTTTCCCCAGCAACAATTCTTGTAAGTTCCACAGCTCTGCAAAAGTGAACTCAGTTAGATTGTAAATGCGGTTTCTTCGCAGATCCAATTTCCTCAAGTTGGCCAATCCATCAAACGTGCGACGGTTCAAATGGCATATGTTGTTTTTATTCAGGTCCAATTCCAGTAGATTGAACGTATGCTGGAATGCTCCATCCTTAATCGACGATATGTTATTTTTTGTAAACACAAGTTTCTGCAACTTTGGTACCTCGTAAAACGCTAATGTTCCGACTTCAATAATCATATTATCCTCTAGATTTATCGTGGTAATATTCGGTAAATGGGCGAATGCGTATTGCTGGAGCGTTTCAATTTGATTTTGAGATAAAGTCGCCTCCTTTAGATTGGTTAAGTTGGCGAACGCGAACGAAGTGACGTCGACTATGTTCCCATACTTAATGTTAATGGATCGGAGTCTTTGTAAGTAATGGAGCGCTTTTGTGGGCACGTAGCCTAAAGCGCCATCGACGCGGACGTTAAAAGACAAAGTTTGCAAAGTTGGTTGCGACGCGAAACTCTGCCAGATGAGATCGTCGCGGGGTATGCCACCGTTGAATACCCAGCATTCCGCTTTCGACGCATTCCGTGGTTCTCGCGTGTTTTCACAATAACAGTGAACTTTTGAGTCTCTATCGGTTATGTCGCAGATATTCTTTTGGAAGCCGCCAGTCTTTTCCTTGGCGCGCCGCTTGTTGTTGTTGTCTCTCGCTTGAACATTAAATGCTATTTCGTTGACGAGAGCGAAAGTGATCAAAATGTACATTATCCCAGCGATCCGTGGCTCCATTTTCGTTTAATCTGAAACAAACGAAAGCCATGATGTTAAAACAACATTAATTCTTCCTGGTTTTATTGGATTACAGCGGATTGGAATTCGGAAATGAGGACTGACGTCATTGCAAGTTCGAAAGTTATTTCAGTATGAAATACTTATTGTGGACTACAAATATTATGTTATTATTATTAAATATTTCCTCTAAAAAGAACTCGCCGCAGAGTACCTCATCGTTGGAGTGACCAAGCAACGGTACACATTAGTCTTCCGGTTTAAACCTCCCTGAGATTTACCGAAAACTGCAAGAAATGGGAATTTCTCATTCATAATGGTATAAACCTTTCAGGAACATGACCTCCAGCAATGAATAATACAACTAAGAAGATTCAACGAATCAAATATCTTCTTTTTCTATCACTTGCAATTGATTAAAACCACTACGCATTCGTAGGTCAAATTCATGTGAGAAAAATGTTTCTTTATCATCACAAACATCTAATAGCTATAGAAGTACTCTATACGTTCGTATCGTCTATATAATTATTGATTTTATAATAAACTTTTCTTAAAACTGCATTTTTAAGATGAGTTCTGAATTTTTTAACGATGCGAATTGGTGATTTCTGTGATCCTATTTCTAAACAATATAACTGTCGTAGTTACAGATTATCTCATTTCGAACTGCACACCGTAATCTCTCCTACGCAAGAACACTATAACATCGCCGCTGCTAATAAATAATTAAAAACATTAATTTGGATCCTTGTGGGAGATTACAAACTATGTTAAGATATCTAGCAACAATATATAAGAAAGCAGTAATTCATCTTCAATAAACAACGGATCATAGTAGAGACATAAGTGAACTGATGTTTGGAGGAAGTCTGCAATCAGTAATTGGATGTAAACACCGTCTTGATCTACTTTAGAGAGTGCATAATAGGTACGTCATACGCTGCCATGCAATTAGGAAGATCACAATTAGGTTCGTTCACCTTCGTTACAAGGATTCATATTACGTTTCCCGTTACGCGGAGGAATACATAATGAGAAAACTTATTTTATTCTAAGAAGCTACAATATACGATGCTGTACAAGCTTTCAGTCAGCAGTTTCGGATTCGATACGAATCTGCAACTGCTGACTGCTAAAGCTATATATTAGTTTCTTAAGAATTAAACAAAAAATCGCTGAGTAACCCTCTCACTGTGGCAACTCCAGTGCTAAAGACATCAACATCTGCTCTACTGACCAGGTTACTGATATTGTCGCAAGCTCGTGTATTCTGGTGTATACTATATATGGAAACATACGGTCAAAATGAAAATATCCATCTGACCGTTTAACAAAAATCAACCTTTACCAAAGGACGTAAGTTGCCAATTTGGTGGGCATTTAAATTGGATTTGGATTGAAAGTGAGTAATGGAATTATTTTTATTTATACATAATAATTAGTTATTCACTTATAAACCAGAGGATAAATTTGTTGGTTCAGTAATTTTTTAAACTTTCAAATCGTGATTTCTCAATTCCTCCATTTTTGAGTAACGGCAGTGTTTGGTTTAATATGCGATATATTTTTTATCTTGTTCAACTTACGTTAACAGTACTAATAACTAAACTCAGTAATAATAATTGCGTCGATCATCTTCCAAAACGATTTAAGCGTGAACACAAAAAACATCTTTTGTCTGAACAGATATGTCTCTCTACATAGATATTTCCATAATCGATGAGTTTGATACCCGTAAATCTGAAAATATGAATTGCCGTACCTATATATATTCATATTTGGTGGCTATCGTTACAATTTAATATTATGTTTGTAAACTTACATTATTATTTATATTGCTTACCTACATTAGTTACACTACTTACATTATTTGCTTTGAAGTTTACACTTTTACTTGATATATATAGTATTTAGAGTTAAATATATGTATTTGCGTGTGATGATGATGATGACTTACAAGCAGAAAACCAGCACTGTTTGACTTCTCTCGGTCTACAGTATTTATGCTGAGTCAGGGCCATTTCAGCACAAACTGTAGTCATAGGTACTTTTAAATTTTATCAGTTCTTATATTATTAGTTCTTATATCGTATTTGTTTGTTTTTCTCACAGTATGTGTTTTATATAAATGTGTATTAAATTAATAATGTATGTTCTATCTGTTTTTAAATTATACTTTGTGAAGTGATTGTAAAGTTTTGTTTCTGTTTGTATTTGTGCTGACGTGTTATGTATATATCTATCAAAAGCAGGCTTTATAATTACGACCACACCACTTCGGGCGGTACCATCTCCATATAGTACTTATTACTTGATATGAGATAATATCAGTTATTTTGAAGCTGACTGTAGTAGAGATAGTATGCGCCTGCAGACTAGCTTTTAAACAAAAAGAAATGGACTAAATACAACATATTATTATGAAGTTTATTGAATATAACTATGTTTTACATCATGAAATTCAAGTATTTTTGTGAAATTACTGCACTAGTTTGTTGCAATTATTAATACAAAGATCAAACAATAGGAACAATTTGATCCGGCTTGCCTTCGCGATATCGTGGTTGACGCTCTCCCAACAGAGCCACAGAACGAACCAGCAGACCTTATAAATTGATCTATGTACTTGTTGCAGATTTTTGTTTTTCAGCTTATAACGACTTTTCGCCGTAGCGCCATCTATGAGAATTCTATGAAAGTTTTTCTCATTATTGCGTTTAAATCAAAACGTTGTGCGTCACAAAAACTCTACTGCCTAAACTGATACAACTGTTTATACAAAATCCTGTTGTCGATTGTAATTTATCGTATCGAATGAGCATTCAGGCAGAGCGCGCCGTAATCTAAATGAGTTTCACATAGTTAACGAGCCAAATGATACTCGATCAACCGAATAGAATTTAGCTTTTAAAATCCCTAGTGACTATGGTGTCGACTATTGTCATTTTGTACAGAGTTGGTTAGTCTGATAAATGAATATTGCTCAAGAGACTTTAATTCGTTACGTTAAAAAAAGAATGGTAAAAATTAAACAAGAATTTCTTCTCTAAGTATAAAAAATGTATTATGCCTCGCCGGAAAAAGTTTCTGAAGTATTAGAAGCATTTTAAAATCTCAGGTGGGCCAGATATTAAAATATGTATGTGTACAGCCGAAATGGCGTTTTTTTTTACAGATGCACTAATCCAGTACGTGCCAATTTTGTTGTAGTGGCATTGCAAAGCCGGATACAGCTAGTTAACTCGTCACGCGTCTTAGTGACACACGGTGTCCCTAATGATTTTGGTACTGTAGCGTGCTAAAGCAACACGGTGAATCTAACGCGCAGCTATTTTCGTCCACCATTTAAAAAAATATATATAATAAATATACAAATTTTAATGTTTTTTTACCAAACGACTGGTATCCTAAAGGTTGACGTTGTAGGCGCTAGATGCTGAGGTCCCGAGGTGGATTCCCGGTAGGTCCAATTTGGGAAATGAACTTTATTAAATTGGTTCTGGTCTGGGTGTTCTGGGAAGTGCCCCAGAATTCCGTTGCTTCGATTCTCATAGTACAGGGAATTCCCTAGTTTGAGACCAGGTAATTGGTGTGGCTGTCTGCCTCGTATTATTGTTATAATATTATTGCTAACTTGACAATAATAAAAAAAACTAAAATTATTCAATTACAATAATAATTATTATTTAACAAAATAAATCATTAAACAAACCAACGTTGCAGTCTCTTTACAGTTCCCATGGTCACGGTTAACTATCATGTCATAATTGACTATCACGGTTTGAAAAAACAAATATACGCGATTTAAATCTGGAAAAGTAGTTTCATTTCCTATTGTTAACAGTTTATTAATAGAAACAAATCGCCGCAGAAACTAAGGCGTAAAAAAAAGTAAAAAACAAAAATAAACGGAGAGCTATTAAATTTTATCTTATTACTAATTATTAGTTATGGTAGGTTAACTGCCTCCGTGGCCGAACGGTAACCATACCGGACTGCCACGCAGAGGTCCCCGGGTTCGATTCCCGGGCCGGGAGAAATATTTGTATGGCCTACATTTATTTCTCTCGTGAGTTTGGGTGTAATTTGTGGTTGTCTATGTGTGTGTCCATGGCACCCGCGACACAGGGTTTCCCTAGTGCGGGGCTATGTTGAGTGCGTGCGTTATGTTATGTTATTCCTTGGTGTACACTCCGCATATTGGCTTGGTGCAGCAAACGAATAGCTAGCTAGCTACTGGTGAAGACTAAAAATCAGCAATGCTGAGTCTTTAGCCGTTTTGTCCACATCACTCAAATGTTTTTATTTCTATTCGTTTTTTAAAGTATTGTATTTCTTATGTTTTGTGGAGAAATAAATGCTTTTTTATTTTTAATATTGAAGTAAGTAACAATTTTGGCCGTTAAAATGAATGAAGGTTTTTAAATATTAGGTACAGTTAATGATTCATATCTCAGTTGTCTAGTTACGTATTTGTTATGATCATACATTTTTAAACTGAATAAAAGCAACTAGACAAATGTGACTTTTTATTTATGGGGTAGCGAATTATAATTTAGATCATTAGTTATAACTTTAATGCTTAAGTTGCAGTTAAGCTAAACTGGTCTCAAGCCTTAATCCTACAAGTGTCCCATCAATCCACATAATCGCATCTAAATAACGTCTATTCATTGGCGTTTCTCCCTAAACGCCCCTTTGGGAGGCGATAGGTCGAAACAAAAAAAGCCGAACCGTCCTTAGCCAACATCTTGATAAAGAACCTCCGTGCTGCCAGAGATTTATTGCTTAAAATCTCTCGAGAGAAACAGATATATTCTTTTAAAACGGACAGCACAGAAGGCTTGTCAAGATTACGAGTACCTCTTTGGGCAATCTGAAATATTTGGGGTAATTCCCATTGCGATTTTGCGACCATTACAAATGAGACCCAATTGCGATTAGTTAATTTCTATATGAATAAAATTATTATTCAGTATATTAGATGAAAGAAGATA